TGGCCGTGTGTGCCCGCTCCCCCTGTGGGCTCAGACTGCTGGTCTGAAGGAGCCTGGGGTGGGCTAACTTCCCAGCTGGCCACGCAGCTTTCAAGCACTTTTCTGAAGAAAGGTGTTAGTGACTTTTTTCTGGTCGCTAGGTGGCGCCAGAGATCTCTCCTATTGTCCTTGGGGGGCTGCCTTTTTCACCCCGTGGGACAGGGAACAGAGTAGGAATGGTAGGGAAAACCTCAACGGCTTTGGGGTGCTGTGTCTGCCTTGTGCCCCATTGACGTGGATTACCCATGCCCCGAATTTCGTGCCCTGGGTCTCAGTTCCAAAGCCCTCAGTTCCAGGACGTGGGCTGTAGCCCAGTTCAGTGGCTGCCGGAATGGCGCCTTTTGCACCCTGCTCCCGTGTCCAGGCGCCTGGTTCCTGATTACTCAGTGAGGGACATTCACCTCAGTGAGGGCCCCTGCCCGTCTCCCAGCAAGCCTAGGTCGCAGGCGCGGGGACCTGGGCAGCCGCGATCCGCGTTTGCTTTTCAAGCGCGCTGCTTTTCCGCGCAAGCTTACCGGCTGGCCCCGGGCTGTGTGCGGGTCTCCAGAGTGTCTTTGTTCTCTAATGGCGCCCGGAGCCGTTTGCTCACCGCCGTGGCGAATTCTGCAGGGTTCTCCACAGCTCCCGTTCACGGGGTGTGGTGGCTGCAAGGGTTCCTTTCCACTCACAGTCCCGCTTGCTGCGTCGTTTGTTCTTGTTGGTCATTTTAGTTTGTTGTTTTCCTCCTCTCTGCCGATATGAGATGCCGACTCTGTGGGTGGGGGAGGGAAACTGGGTTCTGCGCTTTCCTCCCTTCTAGTCCTCTTTTATGGCCACTTTCTTCTGCGGGCAGTTTGCTGGAGTCGTCCGTTTGTCTTCCGTGTCCCACTTCTCACTGGGACCTGCCACTTTTCCTCCCTATTAACTTTTTTTTAATGGGAGATCTTACTCGCAGCGTCTCCTCGCCACCATGTTGCTCCGCCCTTTCCGAATAGCAGTCATATTGAGTTAGGGTTCATCCTAATGATTTCATTTTAACTTGATTATCCTTTTTTTCTTAAAGATTTATTTGTTTACACATACAAAAACTGGGGTACAGGCCAGAGGTGTGGGGGCTGAGAGGATGCCAGATACAGAGTGGGGAGCAGAACAGGCAGACTGGCCAAAATACACTGCTGAGGGAAGCAGCAGGTGAGACAGGAGAGGTCTGCTGTGCCATGTGGGTAGCACCCTGGCTGGGGATTGAACTTGTGCTGCAATGGCTATGGATAGCTTCATAGGTTGCGTCTTAACCCCTTGCGCCACCAGGGAGGTCCAAGACAACCTTATTCTTGAGGGTGAGGTTAAGGTTTGGGCGAGGGTAAGACTTTCCAAAATGTGAGAACAGTGTCCTAAAGGAAAGTGAGGTGAATGAGAGAAAATTAAAAAAATATGGGACTAACCACCAGTTTCTATTAATTTCTCTCTTTACATGCAAGATAACTTCAACAATAAGTACAGTAGTAGTATATGTATGCGTGTGTGTATACCATGTAGTAGGCCATGCTTACTGCTTTAGATACATTTAATCATCAAAACTATCTTGAAAAATAAATGACATTAATCATTGTTTCAGTATGTAAAAAGATTAACCAATTTACCCAAGGCCACATAACTTGATATCTATGCCAGTCTAATTTCAATACCCATAATTTTTTCATCATGACATGCTATATCCCTAGTAGGCCTTAATAGTGACTATAAAGAAATTTTAGGTATAATCTTAGAACTTAATCACTATTGAATAAATCTAGAGAATAATCCATTCTAACGTGTTTTAATATGCAGTACACTCATGTATAAGCATTGTAAGACGGTTACAAAAGGATACTTACTACCTTATTTTTGCCTGTTTTGAGCACCCAAATCTTGTGCTATATACACACACATATACACATTAAATGTTGCATATACATATATGTATATGTTGCATATATAGTTATTACATGTATTTATAATAAAATCTGAGAGGTTAATTTAATTGCCTTTTTTAAGATTTATTTATTTATACAAGAACAGGGGTACAGGCCAGATGCGCTGCGTGGGAGGGTGAGAGGATTACACCAGAGACAGAGTGGGGAGCAGAACAGGCAGATTAACCGAAGTACACTGCGGAGGGGAGCAGCGGGTGCGACAGGAGAGGTCTGCCATGCCATGTGGGACCCTCCCCAGCTGATATTGAACCTTCACTGCAGAGGCTGCAGATATCCTCACAGTGTGGCGCTCATCAGCCTGCTCCACCAAGGAAGCCCTAAATTGCCATTTAATGAAAATGACAATGAGTTTGAAGATACAGACCCATCCTCTACAGTTACTTTACAGTAAATACTGAAGACTTATTTGATATCAATCTCTAGTTCTTCACTTAATGATAATAATCAATTCCTTGTATTCTGAATAATTTTCTGATTATTCTAGCTTTAATCACATACTCTACCTTCTGGGTAATTTACATCTTGCTTCAGTATCCTTCATGCTTACACTTGCCCAAGGCTCAGGCTTCAGTACTGAATCATAATTATTTAATTTTATTGAAAAAATTGCATCCCTACAGTAGTCAGTGGGAAGCTGGGGGCTGAAGGATGATTTAGTTCAAGTCTTTTGCTTAAAATCACTTTGTCTGTGGCTTGAATAATTAAATGGGAAATAAATTTAAAATTTAAACATTTGATGATTTTAAGGAAGAAATATCTCTAAGGCAGAAATATTGTTGGATTAATTAAGAGACAATTAGTTACCCTTCCACTGTGTCTTTGGCATTGTCACAGTGTTTGGAAATAACATTCTCCCTTCCTTGAACTCTGCTTTTACTGACTTGACACCACTTTTCAGTCAATGTTTAATGCTATTTAAATGTTATCTTTTCTCTATTTTGTATTTTTTGCAGTGTTACTTACCACTGATTATTTGCGAATTATTTTTTTAATTATGCAGTTTGTAGGGCAGAAATATTAAAAAGCATCTAGTAAGATGAACTGGGTCTTGAATGCACCAAACTTTATTATTGGAATTTAAAGAATTTAAATGGCATCTACTGGCTGCCATTAATAAGAAATACAATATCATTCTTTTCTAAATATTATTTTAATATTTAGCATTTATTTGTAAAGACAGTCTAACTGTTGGAGAGGGGCAAGTTAAGAGGAGGGGAAGGATTGGGGTCAGAATGGGGCGTTTGCAATTGTATGGGGGAATATAAAAATAAAATTTAATATTAAAAAAAAAAAATAAAACTGAAGTCTATTAAAAACATCAAAAAAAAAAAAAAAAAAAAAGAAATGTTAGAATTAAAGAAAAATGGCCTTTGCTTAGATGGGTAGTTTATGAGCCACAAGAAGAAGGAGATGGATGCATATGTTTCCTCATTCAATGAAAAAATTGTTGAGACATTGTTGCCTGCTGAACACTGTTAACTGGGATAAAAGTCTGGATGGTATTAATACAAAAGTGTCTTAATCAAAGTGAGAATTCGAACCCAGGAAGTAGTCCCACAGTTTTGCTCTGTGAGAACTGTCCCAACAATCACAACTTGAGTTTAGTTTATATAGATATGGACAGTGAGTCATTGATATTAAAAATGCAATTATTGTTAACAGCAGGGTTTTTGGTTCTAAGTTGTTTTGACTAAATAAATAGTGATACTGTCTGTATAGAGAGGAAGACCATTCTGGAGTTAATCTCTTCTTTATAAAGAAGGCATGGTGGAGATACAAAGGCTGGGTATCCATTGTTTAAATCTTTTATATCTGACTGACTCCTTGGTTATTAGTGGGGGTTGAAAAAGTTGGCTTTACCCTTAGACAGCAGATTTTGCATAGCTGTTTCAAAGTCTTCAATTCTCTGCAGATGATTTTGCTTTCTTGTTTGCTTGAGCAGGGAGAGGTCATTCCCAAAACATTTTACAGTATTTTCAGAACACTGTGTGGTAGGTGCTACATTTTCAATATTGAACAACAGAGGCACAAATCTATTCACAAGGTTTAATAGTCTGAGAGCTGGGGAAGGGGATGGAGATTGGAGAGTGGAAGGATTATATGAAAGAATAAATTTTAAAAGAGCAGAAGGCAAATGGAAAAGTGCTGACTACGAGCTTACTTTGGAAAAAATATTATCAGGATCCCACAGAACACTGGGATGATATAATATGCTGCGATTCCAGGAAAGTTTTTCTGTTGTTTTTTTTTTGTTTTTTTTTTTTTCATTTGGAAGTTATTCCACAGCTTTAAAACAGAAAACTATTATATGGTTTCAAGTCCAGAAGGGGGCACTTTTTCTAACACAGGTCTAACAAAAGCATTAATATATGTGAATGTTGGTTCTAGTAATAAACTGAAGTAAATATTGATATCAAGTCTGATTTAATCGACAATTTTGGTGTCTACTAAAGTTGAGAAATTAGTAATTTAACTACTTGCAAAATGTTTTACTCAGAAAACTAAGTTAAACTGGTTAGAAACTATTTCAAAAATCTTCCTCGAGGTTTTGTATTCTCTTGGAAAGAAAAGAAAAAGTAAATGGTCTAACACCATTAAGTTTATTTTTAAAGCATGTAGCTTACTAATTTTGTAAATAGTCCACCTAAATTTGTATAACAGTTGATTTGTAAATAAGTGAAGAGGTTATAAAAAGAGAACATTTTAAAGAGAGATGTGCAGGTGTTTATTTTCTTGATAGGTCTTATTAAGAAAAATCCATTAAGCCTTCATCTCTGGAGGTTTTCTCTTAAAGAACCTAGATCTCTGGTGAGGAGGATAAAAAGTTCAGGAAATAGCAACTAAAATGCTAATCCCTCTTGTAAAATTCTGGCTTAAAATCTGGGTGCCTAATTGAAAGAGAAAGTAGGAATGATTGTTTTTAGAGAACATTCATTCTAATATAACCTTAACTTTGTTTTCAAATAATGAAACTTTCAACCTGACTCTTCATTTGTTAATTCCCTTTAGGAGGTGATTTCCTCTCCTTTCTGAGAAAGAAGAAGGATGAACTAAAACTCAAACAATTAGTGAAATTTGCGTTAGATGCTGCTTCTGGTATGGCATATCTTGAGAATAAAAACTGTATACACAGGTAAGTAGAACATTTTTAAAACATTTTTCAGTTTTCTTAATAGAATGCTAAAAACTGATATCTTTGCTGCAGTGCAACAATTTACTTCACAAAACTTAATTTCTTATTGTTTTTCACATTTTGTGTGAAAGTATTCTTTCATAATTGCTTATACAGTTTACAGAAACACTCACTTTCTCTCTTGAGGGAAGTACAATAATTAATTACCTACTAATTAGTATTTATTTTATTATAATCATGAATAGAATAGTGATATTGTTACAGGGCAGGGAGAGGGGCAGCCCAAACCCTACAAACCTGCCTATTCTAAATGGGTTCTGCTATCCGCCGCATCAACACAAAACATATGAGACTTTAATGGGAAGGAACTTTAATACAATTAGGAAACAATACAGGAAAGGCAAAGAATCTAGTTTCTAAATCAAGCACCCAAAGTTACCGGTCCCCTCGTGGGTAAAAGTCCACCCAAGCAGGATTGGCCCACAGCAAGGCCCCAAAGCCTGCCACAAATCTAAAGCATCTTCCAGTGGGGACCCACAGAAAAGCATCAGAAACAACCAGACAAGTTTGGGAGGAAAAAATCAAAATCATAATCAAGATAAAAGCTGCCATTGTCACCTCACCACGGGTCTCTCACCCACATCTGTGTCACCCAGTCCACGACCAAAAGGCAAGTGTAGTTTCTTTACATGTCTCTCCATTCCATGTGCCTCCTCCAGGTCTCCTCCTGGCTCTCCATCCTGCTTCCTTCCTTCTCAGTCTCCTCTGCAGCTTCTTCTTTCCCTGATCAGCTCCACCCTCCATTTGGGTAGGGCAGGAAACCTGGAACCTCCCCCTTTCCTGGGGACTACCCTGTTACAATCCCCCCTTTTAATTTTTATTCTACCATATCTATGGTGGCACAGATCTCAGGGTGTAGTCTTAGGATGGCAGAACCCATTTAGAATAGGCAGGTTTGCGGGGTTTGGCCTGCACCTCTCCCTGCCCTTTAACAATATGAGATGTACTTTTAATGGACAAACTGAGGGGCACCCTGCGGCTCCCAAACTTCCACGTCCTTGGTGGGTTCTGATATCCACTGCATAAAGACAAAGCATTTTCCGTGTGTATAGCATAGAGAGAGAGGAGAGAGAAATGATAATAGTTTCCCAATGAAACAGCCAAAGTTACCCATCTCCTTGTGGATTATGTCCAGTTTAACAGCATTAGGCCAAAACGGAGCCACTCAGGCCTGAAAACTTGCCGGAAATCTAAGGCACCTTCTGGTGTGGGAACATAGGAAAGGGGCAGAAGGGGCAAGGGAAATCTGAAAGAAAGGGAGCAAAATCAAAGTAAAAGTCAAGATAAAAACTGCCATTGTCAGTCTCCCTATGGGTTTCTCACCCATGTCTCTTCCAAGTATCTCCTTCTATGTCCCCAAGTCCCTGGTACAAGTCCAATGTCAAGAAACTAGTAGAGCTGCTTCTTCACACTTCTCTACTCCACATGCTTCTCCAAGTCTCAAGTCTTCTTCTCCAAACCCCTTTCCTTGCTTACCCCTGCTGCTCAGCAACACCCTTCATTAGATGGGTCAGGAAACCCAGAACCTCCCCTTTCTATGGAGATTATGGTACTACAATTTAGTCATGTAAGAAATGTCTTAACTAATCTTTCTTTTAAAAAAAAAATTCATGTCATAGAAAGTATCATAATAAAACAACAATTCATGACACTGAATTTGACAAGGGTAATAGATTTTAGCATACTAGTTATTTAAAGGACACTTTAGAAAACTTTCTCTAATCACATTAAGTCCACCGACTTTGTCTTAATACTTCATAGATTATGGTTTTAGTTTATTTGTAATGGAAAGTGTTCTTTATGGCTAACTGTCAGTACAACTTAAAATTGCTCGCAGAATTCATGTAAATTCTGGCAAAATATAGCTAAATAGATGTAAGCAATATTGAGGTGGTTTTTTGAGTCAGTGGGTTTGGTGAATGGGGTCCTTGGGTTCACTCCAGGAACGATTTCACCAGAACTCCCCTTTCAGTAGCACACGGCGCATTTCCCAGGAGAGTTTCTCCATGAGACAGAGATGTTATATTTAAAGAGCAGGTTTATTAGGGAAAGGGGTGGGACACTTGCATAGACACAAGTGGGCGGAAAGAGCTGTCCCTAAAGGGACAGGTTTGCTGAGAGAGGCCTGCATGGTTACAGGCAGACAGCCTTGAGGGGAGCTGCCTCTGATGAAGGAAGTCAATGAGGAGAAGCCTTGCAAGGTATAGGTCATGGGCAGGCAGGAAGCTGCTGCCCTGCAGAGGGAGAGAGTTGGTGAAAAGAAGCACCTGCATAGTCACAGGTGGGCAGAAGGACTGCTGCCCCATGCCAGGGCAGAGACTGAACTGTTATAGTCTTCTCTTTGGGAGGGGCTCATTCCTTTATGGAGTGGCCTGTTTGCTGCTGATTTTGGATAACTATCCAGAATCCGAAAGCAACCGGAAATTCCACTATGGGCCCAATCTCTATATCTTTACCCTCATGTCTGTGTTCTTGATGATGCTCTCTACAGCAGTCTGATACCTGCTTGGGTCTTGTGATAAGGCACTGACGCCTAAGTATCTTGATTAATACAGCTGGGTTAATAGTTATGTTATTTCCCTCTACCCCCACCTCCTTGTGTGAGTCAGGTTCTGGTCTTGTGATGCCTCCTTTTAGTTTTCTGTTCTTCCCTCCATCAATATGAAGCAGTTTGATGCAATGTTAATTTTCTGGAAACAATGCATAATACTATTTAATGTGGGCCAGGGTTCATTGTCAATTTGAACTATTGATAGACTTTAAGCTGGTGTATCTGTTAAGATATATTTCTCTGTGATTTGTTTCATTATGCAACCTTTGACCTAACATTCTGGTGGTTCTATAATGTATAATTATAGGAGAATAAAGTTACCTTCACCTAAAATATACATTTATTTGATCTCAGTGTATATTTTGTAATTAATTATCCAACAAAATTTAGTTGGTATTTGATAAGGTGGTGATGAGGTAAGATGATGATTTTCAGATGTTATGTTGAATTCAGTGAGGGGGTTTCCTCTGAGAAAAGTTTCCAGAGAGTTTCCCTTTTAGTGTCACATGCCAGGTTTACTAAGGAAAAGATATTTGCATAGAGTCAAACAGACAAAGGCTGCATTTATTTTTATTTTTTTATTTTTAAACAATATTTGCTTCCCCCACCCCCTCAGATTGAGTCCCCAAAGAATTTCCTTCCCCAAGGCACCCATGCACCCTCACCACAGTCCTGTGTTCCTCCCTCCCTCCCTCTGATCCCTCTCCCTCCTCCTCTCTTGCAGTATGTCTCTGATTTATAATTGTCTGTTTTTGCTTGTTGTGTTTTGTACTGTTATTATTTTTTTACACTGATGACTTATTTGGTTCCCCTATACTCCTGTTATAAGTGAAACCATCTGATATTTTTCTTTTTCCTTCTGGCTTATTTTACTGAGCATAATTTCTTCTAGCTCCACCCACATTGCTGTGAATGGCATGAGTTTATCTTTTTGATTGCTGAATAATATTCCATTGTGTATATATGCCACATCTTCCTAATCCAGCCATCTATTTTTGGGCATTTGGGTTGTTTCCAGGTTTTACCTATTGTAAATAATGCTGCAATAAATGTAGGTGTACAGGTGTTCTTTTGAATCAAAGTTTTTGTGTCCTTTGGGTAGATCCTTAGCAGTGGAATTGGTGGGTCATGTGGTAGCTCCATTTTTAGTAGACTGAGGAACCTCCAGACAGCTTTCCATAGTGGTTGGACCAGTTTGCACTCCCACAAGCAATGTAGGAGAGTTCCTTTTTCACCACATCCTGGCCCACATTTGTTGTTGCTTGTTTTTTTGATATGTGCCATTCTTACTTGTGTAAGGTGGTATCTCAGTGTGGTTTTGATTTGCATTTCCCTGATTATAAGGGATGTTGAACATTTTTTCATATGCCTCTTGGCCATTGGCATTTCCTCTTTGGAGAAATGTCTTTTAGGTTCTTCTGCCCTTTTCTTGACTGGATTGTTTATTTTGTTTTTGTTGAGTTATGTGAGTTCTTTGTATATCTTTGTGGTCAGTCTCTTATCAGTTGAATGGAGTGCAAAGATTTTTTTCCCAGTCAGTGGGGTGTGTCTCTCTGTTTTGGTTAATGTCTCTTTTGCTGTACAGAAGCTTTTCAGTTTGATGTAATCCCAGGTGTTTATCTTTACCTTCACTATCACTGCTTTGGGTGATGAGTCTTTAAAAATGTTTCTGAGATATATGTCTTATAGTTCTTTACCTATATTTTCTTCTATATATTTTATGGTTTCAGGTCTTATGTCCAGTTCTCTTATCCATTTTGAGTTAATTTTTGTGCACGGTGAGAGGTAGTGGTCTAATTTCATTTTTTTGCATGTGGAGGTCCAGTTTTCCCAGCACCATTTATTGAACAAACTATCCGTGTTCCATTGAATATTCTTTGCTCGAAACAGACAAAGGCTGCATTTTAAAGGGGTACATTTATTAGGAGAAAGAGAAAAGCATGTAAAAAGAGAAGCCTGCATTGACACAGTCTTTGTATAAGAACTGCGATTTGCTAGAGCAGTAGTTGTTCTTATATTGTGTTCTTTTGCATGCAGGGGGGCTTCATTCTTTTGTGAGACAAAGATCTATTCCTATAGCAATCCACGGGAAGGATTTTCTCTTGTAGTCTGTGCCGAAGGATTTCCTGTGTCTCAGGATTTTCCATATCCATAACTGGTTTAATGACTGTGTTAATGATTTCTACCCATGGCCTTGTGAAACCTCCATCCCAAATTTTCTACTCTTTAAGTCTCCATTAGTATTCAGTTTGATTCTAAAACTAAAATTATGCCTTATATTTCAAGTGTGCTTCAATAATTATACATGTTGTTAAATACATTTCAGTAGTGAAGGTAATACTTTTCTAACAATTAAGACTATTAAAACTAAACCCCTGTCATTATTTTT